TATTTCAATTTCATTATCAATGTTTTGATATTGTTAATCAGCACAATGTTTATAATTTGTATGATTTTTATTTTATTCAATATTTTAAAAAATTTCTTTAATAAGTATCTACATTCTTTACTTGAATACAATTATTTATATTTTAATTTAGCAAATTTTTCTTTATTCATCAATAATTTCTAATACTTCCCAAGTTCTTATATATCTCATCTGTCAAAGAAAGAAATTTAATTGCTTTTAATAAAAATATTCCAAATAAATTAGACTAATGTCTTATAATAATCCATCAAATCCATATTTTTAATTAAGTCATGAATAAAACAACAAGAGATTTCATGATAAGAAAAAAAAAACATCTTATCATTTGTCTCATCATTAAATTATTTTGTGGCATTTCTGCCATTTATCAATTTTATCTATGACTATCAATGTCTTTAAGCCGAAAAAGAATTTTCATACACGAAAACAAACAAAAACAAAATGAGAGAAATTGTTCACAAAGAAGACAAAAAAAAAAAACGAAGAACGACAACACTTGCACACAGCAAACACGATTAAATATTTATATAAAAAGTACTCACTACATTATAATAGGATAATACACTTGCATACGAACAAAACAGACACAAAAAATATTAGATATATCATATATTGGAAGACTAAAAACAGAGAGAGAGAGAGAGATGAGAGACAAAACATTTGAGATTATTATTTATATATATTTTTATGTAAACGACTAGATGATTATTATTATTATTATTGATTTGATGATATTAAATCAGCAGTTGTCAATGGTCCTTCAAGAAATAATTGCCGAACATTTAATAAAGCTGATAATTCAAGTATCATTTTATGTATTTGAACATTTTCAAGAAGATCATTAGATAATTGAGGTTGAGATGATGGATAAAAACCAGATCCCTAATATATATATATATATATACATATGGTTTTTTTTTATTTCAAATAAAATTATTACCTTAAATGCTCGATGTAAACGAAGTACAGCATAGCAAAAAACAAAACGTGAAAGAAATAAACGTAAAAATTCATCAACAAAAAAATGATAAATTGTACTGTCTACAAAAAACAATATCATTCATTTTCTACTAACCAAAAAAAAACAAACAAATAATTTTTCTTACCAACAAGTTTTGATTTTAAAAATAATTTTGTTATTTCAAATATAATTTTATTAATATGTTCTTGACATAAATTCCATTGTTCATTTGTTAAATCATTTAAATGACATACAAAACAAAATGCAAATATAGGTGATGTTAAAAATAATGTAAATAAACTTCCTTTATTTTGATAATCTATTTAGAAACAAAAAAAAGTTTATTAATAAAAACAAAATCTTAATATCTTTGTTTTTATTACCATGAAATACTGTTGGTAATTTAATAGGTGATAATAATGATACAAATGGTTGACCAAATAAATTAGGCATATTTTGAAAAGCAATACTATTATTACTATCAATTATTAAAAATAATGGTTTACGTAAAAATGGATAAAGATCTCCTGGAAATATATTATGAATATCTTTAATTGATCCTATTGTTGTTGTTGTTGTTGTTGTTGCTGCTGTTGCTGATGATGGTGAAGATTTTTTTCCTAATGTATTTGTTGTTGATGTTGGTGAAGAATTAGAATTTTCAATTGTATCATCACGACGATTATTTGTTTTAACACCACCAAAATCATATGATTGTTCAATTTTACTTTTTAAATGTGTATCATAACCATCAGCTGAAATATAAAGTAGAAGAATACCATGATTTGGTAATTCTTTAAATGCTGAAGCAGTAAATGCATAGATTTGACTAAAATTTGGTTTATATAGAAGATATTTATGAGGATTTGGTCGATGTTGAAAATCACCATCGGATAGATTCTAAATGATAAAAAATTAAGATTTTAATAATTAGCTTGAACAAAAATATATATTTTTGGTTTTGCTCAAATCTATTGACAAAAAAAACGATTGAAAATAGATGAAAAGTTATTATTAATTTTTTAAAAGTTCGTGTGGGTGTAGGTCTTCCCTACTTACCATCCACGCCCAAAGTAGGATTTATCCTTCATTAGAAGGCTATGGGTTTTTCAAAACCTTGCTTAGAAAATCCAGTGAGTTTTAGCATCGAAAAATCTGGTTTTCTAGCACTTAGCTGCTATTAAAACCTATTTGAATATCAGAAAAGTTCTTCAAAAACTCTTGATTTTCTAGATAAATGTTAACAAAAAAAGCTAGCTCGTAATAGATGACTACCTTTGGAAGAGGAAGTTTAGTATCATATTTTCGTATAATTACGAATTCTTCGAAAATAAAATTTTTTTTTTTACTTGAATGAATGACGCACGTTAAACTGCAAGAACAAAATAGTCGAAACATTGCTGAAATTATTCTTTCAACCTATGACACTAATCTTTAGTAGAAAACAATACTTAAAACATTTATATTCTTATGTGTTCAAATAAATTTACACTTCAATATCTGAACAAATTTGGAAAACATCTAATTTTCTTCAGGAATATTTATTGTTCATTCTAAATTAATTTGATGTTTTCAAAACCAAATTCGATAAACAGAATATACAACATAACCTTTTTATAGTACGCACACCGCTCAGACTTTTATTTGAAGGATATTACCGAATAAAATAATTAGTTACTATTTATTTTTCTTCTTGAAAAATTAACAATTATTAAAATATAGTGAAGTATCCATTATAGAACTATATGACAGTGCCCAAAGGGGAAAATTTTACTGTATTGTAAATAAATCTAATTTTTATCTCTCTTTTCAATAAACTTGAATTAATCAAATACTTAAATACAAGAAGAAACAATATGGAAATAAAACAAGAATTTCAACTAACTATTGTTCATTTAAAAAGTCGGTGCGTCTAACTATTTTTTGAATAACTCGAAAACAACAAGGAAATCTGCGATTTTCATCATTTGAACGAGCGCGATATTGGGAGTATCTATTTGAGTAAGACTCACTAAGTTTGAAGGGTTCTTTCGAATAGTAAAAACCGCAGGTGTCTATTCCTATTTATTCTCGAGTTATTTAGAAAATAGTCACACGCACCAACATTTTTGAATGAACAATAATTATTATAAGAGTCATGATAATATTTTCAACATGAATGCACATTATTAATAGGAAAAATGTCTCCTATGACAATTATAAAAAATGATAATAATTAATTAAATATCCTTACATAAATGTCACGTTGTTGATGATTTGTTGATGTTGGAGATTGAACAGTTGTTTTTTCATCATAAATTGATGTCGATTCAATTGGTTGTTTTTCAACAGCTTGTAACATGCGATACATATCAATTGTAACTAAACAAACAAACAAAAACCAATGTTCTTATCTAAATAAATCCAAAAAAGAAAAAACAAAAGATAAATTTTTGTTTTACGTTCACTAAATTTAATTTGATCTTGATAATTTCCAATAATAAGAATTTCTTCAACTGTATATAATTGTATATTAGATAAAAATTTTTCTGAACCTATTGGTAATGGTGGTATTAAAGAATTTGTTAAACGATATGATAATGTTATTGGTATATGATCAATATTTAATTGATTATCAACATCAATAAATGTTGATATTTCATTTAAAACAAGTTGCCATTCAAGACTATCATCTGGATCATATGCTTTAACATATTCATCGATTTGTCGATTTAATTCACATACTAATTCACGCATAATTTTTGTTTTTTTTAATAAAAGACAAACAACAATAAAACGTGCATAATAACGTAATTTTTTAACCATTAAATCAGGTTTTTCTTCACGATTTACTTTTGAATAATAGGCACGTGTACGTATAGCTGAATAAAATGCACAAGCTTCATTTAAATAATTTGTTTCTGATGTACGAATATAAAAATGATAATAAAGTTGACCTATTTTTGATGCTATTTCACCTATTTGCCAACGTTTAAGATTATATTTTTTATCGAGAAGAACTCTAATGATTAAAAAAAAGCAATGAAATTTAATTAAAAATAAAAAACAAAACATTTTTATACCGATGTTGTTGTTGAAATTTCCATAATTTAGTATATACATCAAATGTTCGTCCAAAATATGGTTGCCATTGTTTATGACCATATTGTGGAAGATCTCTGAAAGAATAAAAAACAACAATCTATAGATATAGAAGAAAACAAGATTAAACAATATCCTTCAAAAGCAGGAAATTGCTTCATTGCTAGCAGAAAGATTTCAAGCCAAAGAAAGTCAAGCGGAAACGCTTTTTTGTTTTTAGGAAACAGCATCCATTATTTCAAATCATTCACACTATAGAAAATCGAATACTCACAAAGGAAAAATCATTCATCCATTTCTATATTTATAAATAGAAGTGAAAAATGAAATAGAGTGCATGGAGTAAAGTGATTGATAGATATATGTTTATATTATTATTTTTCTTTTATGTATTTCTCTTTGATATGTGTAACTTTATGTGAGGTAAACCATTTTTGCATAAATGGGAATAAGCTGGAAGAAGAAAATCATTCGAAAAAAAAAAGAATTTTTACCTTAATCCATTAAATAATTGTTTTGATTTTTCCAAAAGATGACTAAATTCTTGAACAATTTTATCTTCATAATCATCACCATTACCTTCATTTAAACGTTGTTGATCGGCAGGTGTGGCAGTTTTTTCAATCGAACTTACACCTGTTGCGGTCATTCTTTCATTGTCTTAAACAATCTTTTATCATTTATAAATAACAAAAAAAAAACCTCAAATCTACAAAACAAAAGCATATATAATTTAAATTCACATTATTTTTTTAAATTTTCATCACTCATTAAGTAGACATTTTTTTTTCTTAACGCCATGGACGGATAAAGACAACATAAATTACAAATACAACATCATAATCAAAATACAATTAAATATGATTAAATTCTTAAAACTTTTTTTTAATTTTACAATAAAACTGAATGAAATATCATTTTATGCAAACATTTGCATACTTGCAAAATTGTAAAATTTATCAAGTTGTTCATGAGCATCTATTGCTGATTGACTAATAAAATCTAAATATGAAAATTTTATTTTAGTTTCTTAAAACACAAAAAAAAAAAGAAAAAAATTTTTTTTTTTTATTATTTTATCATTTAAATCTTACGAGGTAAATTTTGATATTTTAATTGGATTAAATTATTAAGTAATTGTTGACATATTTGTACACAATTTGTACCAGCAAATTCAAGTCCTATAACAGGACCTTTTGTAACTAAAGAATTATATGTTGCATTTCCTGAAAATAATCGTGCAGCACTCATCTCATTTATTGAATAACATTTTGTTTGAACAAGTACAAGCTAAATTTAGAAAAACAAAAAATTTTTTCTTTTTTGTTTTTAATTTAAATAATTATTAATCTACAAACTTCTGATTGTATTGTCATTAAAATTAATTCTCGAGCACAAGAATTAGCATTTAAATTATGAAAAAATACTACTAAACAACGCTAAAATACAGAAAAAAAAACTAATTTGAACAAAACAAAAAAAGTCATAAATCTATTATTTACTTCTTCACTTCGATGACGATATAATTCTCCATAAGTAAAAGGTGTTACACTTGTTTCCATATTATCATTTATATTCAAATGACTACATGATGGATCTATTGGAATTGGTAAATGTTTAAATAAATTTTCATTCTATTAAAACAAAAAAGTTCAATTCGATAAAAAAAAATAAAATAAAATCGTACTTGATCAAGTAATGAATAATTATTTGTACCAGGAATTGATGTAAAATCATGAATATTACCCCATGTATTATTCCATGGATTAATATCAGCTGCCTTATATTGTTCTATTATTTAAATAAAAATAAATAAAAAAATTCTTTTGTTTTTATTATTAATTAATCTTACCATCTAATTTATAATAATTTAATGTTAAACATCCAAATTTAATATTATGTGATGACTCAATAATTGGTTGACTAGTACATGATAAATAAATATATAAATCACGACAATCTCGTGTACGAAATTGTTGACACACTGTTGCTAATATACTATTTGTTGAATCTCGAATAAAAATACTAAAACCAAAAAAAAAAAATTTATTTATTATCTAAGAAAATTTTTTTTTTTTTCATATACCTTCCATGAACAGGCCCTATAAATATTCGACAATTTGTACAATCATCAATTTGTATTTGACCTGTATGATCAAATACATAGACGGTACAATTCTATTAATAAAAAATAAATAAATAAATAAATTTTTAACAATATTAATAATTATTATTTACGTCACAATTTTGTACTAGAAATATAAATAAATTAAGAATAAATTAATTTAAAAAATTTTTCAATCTTACTTATAAATTGTTGTCCATTAACAGAACCTGGTAATCGATAAATTGTTTCATTTTTACGTTTATCAAGAATAAAATCTTCTTTTTTTATTGCTTGTCGATCTTCTTTTTCCCTATAAAAAAAAATTAAGAACAAAAATCTATGCACGATAATAAAAAAAAAAATATTCTCGTACCATGAGAATACTTGACGTGGTGTTTCGACTATGTCGGAACTAGCCGAGGGACGAAAGAAAAATGAGAATAGACATCCCATATTTAACACTAAGACTCAAGTAAGAAAAAAAAAAACATACAAACAGAACGAAAAAGTTCTTTCGTCCTTTCTTTCTTTTGTTTACGATGTCATCATCAATCAAGATCTCTGCTTGTTCCATAATATACCCAATATATTCCATTGCTTAAATAACTTATTAGAAATGCAGAGAAAGAATAAAGAGGACGAATGATTTTCTATATCTATATTACCATGGAAAACTGACATGACAGTTGTTAGTGATAAGAATTGAATATTTCTTTTTTTCTTTTGTTTCTAATTCAATCGATCATTTGATCATGTCTCAACAAGGTGCTGCATTACAAAATTATAACAATGAATTAGTTAAATGTATATATATATATATTTTTTTCTTTTGTTCATACGAAGTTTCTTTTTTTTTTGTCTTAATACAGGTATTGAAGATTTATGTGCGAAACGTGATGAATTACAACGACAAATCTTAATTGAAGAAGAAGATAAACATAAAATTGAAAATGAAATACGTTTATCAAGTGAAAAATTAGCTAAAATTAATGAAAATTTAGCAAAAAAAATTACAGCAAGAACAGAATTTGATCGAACGATAAGTGAAACTGAAGCAGCTTATATGAAAATTCTTGAAAGTTCACAAACACTTCTCAATGTAATAGTTGAATATGTTTTTATTATAATTCAATTAATTATCTTTTTTTTTTTTTTTCGTTAGGTACTCAAACGAGAATCACATTCACTTCGTACTAAAGTTGATGAATAAAATTACAAATCTAGTTTTCTCTTTCATACAATACAATATCACTAAAAGTAAATCTTTCGTCTTCTGTTTTTTTTCTCTTCTTGTCAGACACATTTATTTGTATATTAGAAATAAATATAAAATAGGTAAAATTATAAAAATAATTATGTTCATTGGATAAATTTTTAATCCTAATGATGGTAAGTCATAACATGATTTTTCACTATGTGGAGTTTTTTCAAGTTTTGTTAAATTAATACATAAGATATTTTCAATAATATTATGAAGTGGATTTAAATATTCATCTGATAGAGAATTTTTTCGACTAAATATCCATACTATGGAATCATCACATGGATTATCTTGTATATAATTTTTTGACATACATCCATAAATTAATGCATAATTAATATAATCTGTGCTTAATATAACATAAGGCCAATTCAGTTTTGTAGTGCTATTAAGATCTCTTGTTTCAACAATCATTTTTGCACTATTATTTGCAACAATTAACCATGGACCAAATGAAAAACAATTTTCTTCATTAATTAATCGTGCTTTACCGAATACGAGTAGACGTTGATTAGAATTATTTTCGAATTGAAATAATTGAGAATAATCACGCCATATAGAAGATTCATTATGATATTCATCTGATAACCATTTTATTTCGTACCATCTACCAAGAAACTGTTGTAAATTAAAATTAGATTGAACAGTTAAATTTGAAAATGATGGTATTGTACATTCCATTGATTTATTAATTAATAAAAACAATTCTATGATCAGAAACCAATACATACTAATATGTGTTCTTGTTATCGATAAAAGTATAAAATAAATATACAGAAATATACCTATGCACGTTTCTTATATACAAAACGAACAACTGATATGGTTGAGTCAGCAAATACGTAGTGTGTTAAGGGAAAGCAAGTAAACAGTAATTATATATACGTCGTTCTTTTTTTTATTGTTGTTTTACGAAAGAATATTAGTAATTAATAGGCAAAAAAACATAGACGATAACTGCTATTTAATGTTTCTTTTTTTTTCTTGATTGAATGATCTGATTTCTAACTAATATTTCAAAATAAGATTGACCATCGATTTTTCAATAGTCTCTGTTTTGATTTCAAGATACTAGTTTATTTATAGACTTCAATGTATACTAGAATCAAGGCTTGTCGATATTGTTATTGATTATTGAAGCATAGCAATCATCAATGTATTATGCATTTGAAATAGTCATAGTAAATAAAAAAAATAATTTGTATATCATATGACATAGGTTTTTTTTTTCGAAATTAACATTCTTAATCATATAAATACAATAAACAAAATATATTTCAATATCAATAGAAAGTCAAGCATTTTATAAACAATTTCATTATGATAATAATATTTTAGACATTTTTTTTCTGTGATGTTTTCTAATTTTGTTAACATGATTATCGATAGTTAATTTCATATAAATTCATAATTAGATAAGAAATATAATGGCTTTTGAAGGTTGTATATTTTCATTCTCTTGCAAACTATGATCTATACTTTCTATATCTAATTCGAAAGAAAAATATCAATTCTTTGTCTTTACTGTAAAATTAATCCTATTAAAAATAAATATTGACATAGAAAAAAAAATTTTCGCAATAGATCATCATCATCATCTAGATTGTTCTGTATAGATTAAAGTTCATTTTTCAATTATAAACTATTCTAAATATTTAACTACAAAAAAATTTAAACAATCAAATTATCTCACTTTTTTTCAACATCGAAGGTCATCGAAAAGAATAAAGAAAAGTATCAAATGACTTTCATTTTTATCGATATGAATACAAAAGGATTTCAGTTTTTTAAGTAATGTATCAACTGTCGACCTTCTTTTGTGTGTGTGTGTGTGTTAAAGAGTCTTCAAAAAAAAAAAACAATTAACTATAACGAAACTATTCAATAAAAATAAAAACAAATGAACAACAGGAAAATAATAAAACGTTGAGAAGAAAAAAAAACAACAGTGCGCACACATGAACTATACTGCTTGAAAAAGAGAAAGACAATGTGTACGAGATTGCAAACAAACGCATTATGTGATAGATACTTGTTAAAAAAAAAAGGAACCAACGAACAAAGACAGTATGAATTACACAAGTTTAACATCTATTCACATTATATGTAAACACAAACTATAACAGATTACACAAGATAGAATGAATTCGAAAAAACAGTACTCATGTCGAAAAGTAATAGAACAAACATACATACAAAAATACTTCAAGTTCGAACAATTGAGAACGAGAGAGAGAGAGAGAGAAAGAGACAAAAAAACGAAACAGATCAGTTTTGTTTTGTACAATATTTATAGGATCATGCATCATTATTATTATTATTATTACTTATCTTTAATTTTTCATAAACATTTGCAAATAAATCTTTATAATTTGTCGGTTCATAAGATGGTTTATTCATTGACTGTTTATTTTCTAATAAAACTTCATCATATAATGATACTTCATGTTCAGGTGGTGAATATATATTTGATAAAATTATATTTGAATTATCATTCGTATATTTTTCTAATAGTTTTTTATAATGATTTAATTCATTTTGTAATGAATCATTATCATCACGACGTTGTCGTTCGAGTAGTGTTATACGGCCAATTAAATAACGTTTTTCTTGTCTAGACTTATCAAGTTTTTCATTTAATCCTGAACATTCTGTTGTTAATGAATTAATACGTGATTTTAGTTCCGTAAGATGTGTTTTAAAAACTAATGCTGATGATATATCGAATATATTCGAAGATGTTGATAAGTTCGACGATGATGATGACGAATTTGATGTCGAATTCAAATTAAACGAATGAGAACGTCGTAGTTTTATTGATTTTAATGTCGAAATATTCGATTTTTGTATAGAAGAATTTAATTGTTTAGGAAAAAAAATGATTTGCGAACTGTTTTAATCGAAATGTTTCATATTCATGTTCAATTTCAAGATATTGTTTACGTATTTTTTCACATAAATCAGATAACCTAGAAGAAAAATAAAATCAAAAATAATAAATAATGATCTAGATCTATTAATAATCATCATTGTTTCGTTTTTGCCCATCGAAAAGAGATGACTAGACATTATATATACGGTCAATTTGAGCATAAATGATGTAAGCATAATATATATATATATATATTTTTGTAGATGCTTCTACTTTTGTTTATTCTTATGGTTGAATGAATATTTTTACATAAATACTTACTCTTGAATACGTTGTCGATTTATTTCATTGTCTCGACGTTGTCGAGCAAGTTCTCGTTCTAAATCGAAATTAGCTGCATCCAATATTTCTGTTTGTTTACATTTAGTATCAAGTTGTTCACGAGTTGATTCAAGTTTAGCATGTAATAACTAAAATTCAATATAGATATAATATGTTAATCCATTATAATAAAATACAATGAATATTTATTTTCAATCTTATTACTTTTATACTACATTGTTCATCATCAATTTGTTTTTGTAAAATATCTATATAATTTTGTAATTCTTGATTTCGTTCAAGTAAACATCTGCCAAGTTCAGCAGCTAATTGAAGATCTAAGAATATTGAAAAATATTAAAAGAAAGTTTTTTGTTGTTTTTTTTTAAACAAAAAAAAACTAAACCTTTTTCATAATCATCAGAAGTTGATATTGATGATGATGTTGTTGTTGCTGTTGTTGGTTTTGAAGATGATGAAAGAATTGTATTGTTAAGATCAAGTTCGGCACCATCCATGATTGATAAAAGCATTATAGAAGCTCGTACATGTCGATTAACCTGAAACAAGTGACGTTTTGGTGATGGTATTGATGAAATCATAATCTGTCTCCCTTCACTATTTAATATAGTTATTTATCGAACTCAATTGATCATATTTTGAATAAAGAAGAGAAAGAAAAACATTGTAGAATATGTAGTGGAAAGAGAAAGAAAAAAAGAGTAAGAGAGAACAGTTTATATGCTTCTCTCTTTTTTTTTTACTCTTTTGTTCTTAATTCAATATGTTTAAGGGTGGAGACTAATTAGAACAATGTAATTCTAATCCGCTACACTGATAATCAAAAAGTGTTTGAAAGAGAGAATAACAAGTATTATTTGAACAAACAATCGAATCGTCTTCATTTACTTGTCTTTCATTTTCTTACTTGATTGGATTATATGTGACTATGGTACGAAATAACGTGATAGTGAATGAATTTACATACAATCACCTCTCTTTCTTTATATGCTGACGATACGAATAGGCATGTGTGCACATTGTTTTCCCTCTCTTCCTCCCGGCTGCTTAGTACTATGTGAAAGATAAGCCCTGCATATATATATATGCAAGCGTATATGTGAGTGTATGTGTCATTTCCAGTAAAAAAAACCTAAGAAAGCTATTGGTAGTAGCGATGACGATGTGGATCAACAATATATACAGACCATTTTTTGTCATCGCTGGCGCTGCCGTCTCTTATGATACTTATAAACATTACAGAGAAAAAAGACGAAGAAAAAGAGAATAAGAAAGAAAGATAGGCTAAGCAAGCCTCTATCTATGTTGTCGTTTACTCAAAGATTATATAGGTCTAACAGGCATGTATATAACCAGTTGTATATGTGTATGTCAGATGAATCAAAAAGGTGTATGTGTTCAAACATAAAATTTCATAGTATACTTTTCTGTTCATAAAAAAACGACAGAGCAATATCATCAATTATTTTTTTTGTTTCCCCCCTTCTTCTTGTTCTCTTTTTTTTTACATAATAACTTTTACAACGATTGATGCGAATATTTCTTGGTCACATGCTTTAGTCAGTATGTACTATGCTTCGAGTTACACTATCATGATCGTTCGGCCTCGAATATTGCATGCGATAAGACGATTTTATATTTATTTTTATTGTACATTGTCGCCTTCACCTCTTTCTCTTTTTTTTTTCTTGTATATATAAGAGATTGATGAATTGACTGATGCTATGTTATGATAATATATACATATAATCTTATTTATGCTTTGACGATTGTTGATTTTCCATTTACTTTATCTATATATACATATGACATATTAGTAGTTTGGTGGTGGTAGTTAAATAAAACGAAGTCCTTGACTGATTCAATCGATTTCATGATTGAAAGAGGAACAAAAAGATACAAAGGTAATGCATACAATTATTTCATGTCTCTTCGAATCTCTTTTAGCTTATCAAAGAATAGAAAAGAAAAATGTTAAGATTATTCATTGCATTCATCAAAATATAAAAGTTAAATACGCACAGAACTGCAATCTGAAGATGAACGTTCATTTTTAATGTTCCAAGTAGACATCTGAATGAATTTCTCGAGCACTTGATAAAATAGTCGACCACGTAGTTCGTTTCAATGATCTTTTGTACATGAATATATTATTCGATGTTTTTATGATGCCAGATAATAGAAGCATATTTATATACCTTTTTTTAGTTTCGTTTTATATTGACTTTGATAGATCATTTGAGTATCTTATCTATTCATTCACTTTTCTTTTTGTTTGACAATAGTTTGCTAAGTTCAGTTAGAATAATAAACATGTCACATTTAATTACTCAATAAAAAAAAAAGAAATTGTATTCAATAATTGTTGTATTTACGATAGAACATGATTTGGATGTATTGTACACAATTAATGTGACTTATCGTTTTTTTTTGTTGATCATTCATTCTGACGACAATCTCTTTATAAAGAAGGAAAAATAAATAGATATTTTTAGAAAGCCTTTTTTCTCTCATTTTTCACCTGCTTTATTTTTGTTTGTGTGCACGTGTACTAGAAGACCCGACAACAGTCCAGATTTAGTGACTATAACATTAAATATAGCTTTTTCTTTCTGTATTCTGTTTTTCTGCATCATTTATTTTTCTCTTTATTAGATGATATTAGCATTAGTGTATACAAGCGTAAATGAAAAAAAAAATGGGCAGACACAATTTTATACAAAAACTAAATTTTTATTATTAGCAGCAAGATATTCACATGCTCAACTATTCTTATATTACACAGATTATTAGGCAATATGATACCATGTAGTCAACTTATTACATGATTAAAGAAAAAAAGCAATACTAAATTGAGCATCGTTAGATGGCGATGTTTTATCATTTGTTATAAGCTTCATTGCCATACTTAGATTGTATATCATGATAGTAAATGTTCAGAATATTTTCATAACATCGCATATGAATAAACGCACGATATCTTAGATTATTATTCAAGCAGTCCCTAAATGAATATTCTATAGAGTCGGTCTCAACGTAGCTAGCTCAGATTTCACATGAAACTCGTCAAGGTCTGTCATTTCTACACTTCATTTATCAAAGTTGTGCAAATCATTAATCGGAAAATCGCTAATGAGTCTTTTGTTCGTACATATAACACCAAGAAAATGATCGATTGATCCATTCGTTCTTGCAAATAAGCGTACGAGAGTGAAATGTGGTGTCAACCATTGTTATCCATTGGATCATAATAGTAATTATTTCAGACATACGCAAACTAATTATATATCCAATACGCTCAAGTTTAGTATGGTAAACAGAACAGCAACAATATCATTTCTTTCTAATTATTTTTTATCATTACAATGATCTACTCTTGGCTGCCTCCTCTAAATGATCTTAGTATTCGTTAATGAGATTGGATAAATATGCCTCTCTTTCACTTCTAAATATATTTCTCTTTTGTTTTTTTTTTAAGATTGGTAATGAAATATTGCTTCGATTTAATCAGTCTCAATCGAATTGCCACGTACGCCAATTTATGTTCTCTTATGCTTATTAACTGAAACAAACGTAGTAATAGATTTCCATTCTTCTTCTTCTTCTTTTTTATAACAAATTAAGCGAACATGCATTGTATATGAACAAATAACTAGTTCGCGATTTCTAGAAAATAGATCAAACGATCTGATGAACGAACCATAGAATCGATTACACTCGATGACTTTTATCTGTAGCTATCGTTTGTCGTGTTGAAGAAGTTCACAGGAGAATTGTAACATGTTTTCGGTGGGTTTTGCTGGTTTCTTGCATGTTTGCAATAATTAGCATTTTTCTCTCGAGGATTGAAAAGTGGCTTTTTCAAATCGACTCACGGAACCAAAAGAATTTGCCGAGTTCGACTTGACACTTAGTGTAGCTAGTTTGAAACGAACATTTTGTATATACTTAAATCGTCGTCTAAGATATCTTATGGATGTTTCTTTTTGGGTTATGAATAGGGAGAACAAAACAACATCATCTGACTAACTTTCTCAATGCATTTCACGTACAATTACAAATAATTTTTGAGCAGCGAGTCTTTCTTTTCGTTTCTAAAGAAAAACTTCCAGAAATAAAAATATTTTCTTAGATTTTAGGTTGATTTCCGATAAGTAAGATGGATGAAGGTGTGGATGATATATTCTAAGTTAAATCACTAACCATTATTTGTCTATCAAAATATAAATTTAAAAAAGAAACTGCATTTTTGCACCAAATGGATTAGAGATCTGACACTTTCTCGAAAAAATTGAGGAATTGATTTGAAATCGAACAACATCAACGAAAAATATCTATCATTTAGTTTAGCAGAAAATGGTCATTTGCTGGTAATCTATATATAATTATGACTGAAATCATATTTAGATTTCGAATAAGCGTATCTTTAATTGTTTTTTTTGACGAAAATTTTAAGTGAGAACTACTGTCATTCAGACAGATTCATTCGTAGGAAAGTATCCAAAGAGGAAATGTAATACGAGACTTGTTACTCTTTGGAACATTAGTGGTGATATTTAATGTATGAATCAGAGCTCCTATCAAGGTAAACATTTTCGTCTTATATCCTGGCTTCCAGGACGCGACATGGTAGCAGAGTTTTCTGAAAAACTTTTATTTTCGATCAATGAAAATGGTTTATTTCATACGAAAACAATCATTTTCGATTTTTGTTGATATAATTTTTCACTAGTTCTCTTCATGATTTTGGCATTTGTAACACACGCGTATGCTCATTCAAACAATTCGTATCACTTAAAGAGCCACAATTAAATGTTTTTTTGACAAATATAACAAGTCACATAACGTTGAATTTGTTTTCATTCACCATTATCATTTTATTTACTGCTGGAAAACCAAACACTTTCCAAAATATAGCTTTTAAATTCATCATCTCGTTATTGATTATTTGATACATTTTAGTCTCAGTTTCCAACAAACGTGGGATTTTCTCAGAGGAATATGTCAAAGTTATAGGCATCAATGCACGAACAGACAATGTAATCTTACTTGAAAGTGAAGTTATTTCCGAAGAAGACATGCTTGCAAAACGATAATGAAAAAGAGATATTGTAGCCTAATCCATATTTAGAATAGTATTGTTTCTATTAGGGCAAGTTCAACTATTTTCTTAATTCAAATATAAATACTGTTATTGAATAGCATAATTCAATTGAAATTTTGTATAAGGATTTCTTTTCTATACAGAATAATCAATGGTTACACCTTTCGGGTGTGCTATTTCGAGTAAAAGTTGACAAATTTCAGCATAGCTCCTACAAGACAAGTCATTGAACCATCTATCTTGTCCCGTTAAGAACTTTGCTATGCATCATTATTGTTTTGATATGCGTACCAGTAACTTAGATCATGAGTCAATTTAATTGAAACTAAGGAAAATATTTCGCTTTAATTCTAGCGGAAACGAATCAATTTTTTAATCTCTCATTCGAATTCAATATTGAACTCTTTACAATTTTGCTATTTGTATTGGTTTCAGATATTTGTAAGGACAAAATGTATTCTGATTGATGATGGGCAT